TCCTCAATAGCCCCTGTTTTATCACTACCCTGTTAGACGCAGAATGGTTTTATAGGATGTTGTGAATAAGTTTGGAAGTAACAGTAGTATGGTGGACTATTTAGGAAAGCTTCAGATTACTTAGGGGATTTAGCCATTTGGGGAGAGGGTTCTTTAAACATGTCTTTCCATTGTAATCATGGGAGTGTGCGGAGGAATGAAGACATGGATGGAGGGAGGGCGATATGTGGGGCACCCTATGGGAGGATCGGAATTGCTGGATTGAGTATTGGGTATGCGGTTAAGAGATATACAGTTATGGGGTTTATGGCCTAGGGGTCTGCCGCGGTCGGGGTTACCGTTGTATGATAGTAATATCACTTTCACATCTTATGTCGGTGGACATATGGTATGGGTTTTGGGTTTGGTTGATACCGTTGCCATCGGATGTTAGGTAGACTAAGGGGTAGAGTCTGCTCAACTTCCGGGAAATTCGCGAGGGGGGAGATATCGAGCACTCACCAGGGAGGGGGAATGAAGTGTCATCTATACGAGCTCTGCAATGCTCAACTATTCGACAGACTGTACTCGAGTACTACCGGTTTAAGCACTTCTAGACCTATATATGTCGGATTATACTATCCAGTTCACGCTTCTATTTCTAGTTGGCGTTCCTCACACTGAAATCGTGCGAGACGATAACGGCGATTGTTGCCCTAACCAGTTAGCCAAGTATATATGCCATAAGAGCCACTCCTGCAAGATGCCATTACATCTATTCCCCATCTCTATATCTCTGCTTAGCAGTGCCCATCTGGCATCAATCACAAATCCTATCGTTCTTTCGGTACCACTATCCCAAAAGGCTCTTTACCTTTCTGATAGGGGACCTATTGCACAAAATACACTAGGCCGGGGATGTAGAAACACTTAGATTGTTTACAAGCCCCTCCTCTTCTGCATGACTACTGATTTTGAGCTGGGGTTGCTTCACTCACAATGCCATCAACTTCCTTCAACATTCCGTGGTAGAGGGATGATGTTCTTGTGGGATTTTAGAGAATTTTTCGCAGGGTTAGTGATTAGCTTTTCCGACTGCGGGATATCGCTCTATTTCCTAGATAAGGGATCAAAACGCTGAGTGTGTTCCGGACCAAGAGCCTTCCTCCTACTTTCGGTTTGCGCCCCTCCAGTTTTCCGATATGATCGTAGTTCCCACGGCCTTTAAGTACTGCAGTGACCCTGCCGACGGTAAGGTAGACGACTAGATAGTTTTGGGATGAATGGTTTCCTATGGCATTTGACTGCATGGCAAGTGATATCTTCTGACTCATGAGTAATTTCGTTCTTGCGCAATGATATATATAGCCAGGTTGCTAACTACCAAAGCTTGTAGGGTCCGATCTTCATCCTGTCCAAGAACCTTTAGCCGCTCGTTAACCCACACTCACTTGCTGTCGCCGGCCCGTCATACTTCTTTTGGTGCTGTAGTGTCGCCCGGGGTATTTCCAGTCATGTGAGAGGGGAATATTGTTCTCTATCAAACAACAATTAATGATGTGCTGACGATATTGGGGAGAAACAGGAGGGGGAAAAATGTGGAAAGATGATTAAAATTCCCAACCCTTCTCCAGTACACAAATAGCCTTCAATCCGTTGAGTCGCGGTTGACGAGAGTTATGGTTTAGTTACAAATTCATGGGAGTGTGGTTGAATTTTGAGAGTGTTTGAGAGCTTGGGTGATTGTGAGAAGATTCAATGATTGTTTTTCTTTTGTTAATACAAGAGTGCGGAGAGGAATGTGGACATGCATGGTATCACAGATATGGGTGCAGTGACCCAGGGGGGGGGTCAGATTGCTTTCGTGGTGCTCTGCTTGTGCACCTGTTGTTATTATTTGTCAGAATAGGGAGTATGAACGAAGTTGCAATTCATATATCTCTTGTTTCTTTCCTGCACTGGGAGCCTGGGAGGTCTACCTAGTTGACTATCTACCGCTGCACGATCTATCAACCATGTCTTAGGTGGCCCTCAAAATGATCAAAATCATAGTGGCAGAAAGACGTGGTCGCTCGTGCACAGGATCAGAGGAGAGGAAAGAAGACGTTCGATGATCAGACAAACAGCTAACTAATGACCCGCATATATAAACACCTCCGTTGGGGGAGAGCCCCATACAAACACCACAACTGGGGTATAACCCCATACAGATAACTCACTCTCTGACCTTCACACATGCCTCCAGACTAACACCATCACACACAGCCGCCTATACATCTACATGCTCTTGCATGTCCACCTTTGTTCCATAGCAGGATTATACTACCATCACCAAGTAATCATTATTGCAATAGTCGCCACCCATCACCTCCGATCCGTGCTTTTTCCCAGTTCCCACGTTCCCGCATTTTCGTGGCAGGTAATCGGAGCCCTGCGTACAAGTAGAAACTCGTAGTCCACTTCATTCGCCTGTAACTAGCCAAACCGTGAGATGATAAATTAATTAGTCGAGACGGGATCCTTACCACGGGCCACTGTCCTCCCAAAGCACAGGATCAGGGGGCCTTTAAATAGCAGTCATACCCGATCCCGTTCACCCGAAGACCTCGGAAGCACTTGCCGCTCCAGTGCTTCTGATATATCGTACCTGCTTTGGTGTTGCAGCACCACAGCCAGGTTATTGGCGCTACTTAGGGTGATGGGGTGGTCTGGTCCCAGAAGCTTCTCCCGCTTCTCCAGTATATGCCGATGGATCATCACTGATTCTTCGTACTTTCCTTGGTCTTGCAGTACGAGAGCCAGGTTGTGAGCACTGTTTAGCGTGATGGGGTGGTCCGGTCCTAGAATCTTCTCGCGCTTCTCCAGTGTACGCCGATGCATCGTCTCTGCTTCCTCGCACTTTCCTTGGCGTCTCAGGACAGTAGCCAGGTTGTTGGCACTCATTAGGGTATGGGGGTGGTCTGGGCCAAGGGCCTTTTTACACCCATTTAATGTACGCAGGTGCATTGTCTCTGATTCCTCATACTTTTCTTGCAGTTGCAGTACGAGAGCCAGGTTGTTGGTACTCATTAAGGTGTTGGGATGGTCTGGTCCCAGAATCCCCTCCGCTTCTCCAGTGTATGACGGTGCATCGTCTCTGATTCCTCATACTTTCCTTGGTCTTGCAGCATGAGAGCCA